GAGAAAACAGAAGTTGCCTTGGTTGTGCTTTCCCTAGCAGCCCCTTGGTGGCTGATCTGTCTCAACATCTGCACAGGGCAGAGGATGAGAGATTGCCCCTCTTACAGCTGGGCCAGGATTGCTCCAATGCCTGTGCAGATCTTCACCTTCAGCTGCTGTCTGAACTAGGGGCACATACCCACCCAGCTGTGTGTCACAGAGCTGCTTATTTTCACTCCCATTAGTGACTTCTTTTGCAGAAATCCCGTCTTGTTCCAAGGAGCATGTTGAGACACTGTGCATTTCCTTTCCTGCCACATCCTTCCCTTGAATCCCTTCATGAGCTTTGAGATGGTGGAAGTTCAGTGGAAGGACTTGTACTTGTTATTTATCTTTGAAGCTTCCTGTCAGCAGAGCAGTAAGGCTTGTTTCAACCTGCTTTATCAAGGTTGGAGCTGATGGTTATTCCAACTGGACTGTGTGGTCATGCACAGCTGGGTAGGTTGGGGTTCTGACAAGCTCTCAGATGACAGCACTTACCTAAAATGCTTTGCTCTCATCCTGTCTCTATGGTAAGTACATAAAACACTGTGGAAACATTGACATTGGGCAAGCAGACCTGTTGTCAAAAGGTGTTAGGGCTCCTACTAATCTCTCTTCAGGGGAAAAAAAATTCCTCCCAGCATACAAACTTGGCCATCACATTAGTTACTCAGCTGCTTGGCAGCTCCTTGTTGGAAATACTAGGAACAGAATACAGACCCTAATAAAGTGGAGGAAAATTTGGCAAGTACTTCAGTTAGCCCTTGATTTCACCATAGGAATAGTGCAGTTCAGAAAAAGGAGCTCTGAGGCGTGCCAGGGGTGCTCTTGTCATCACTGGGATGGAGGGTTATTTCTGTGTTTTTATTGATGGTAAGTAGAGAGTGCTTTTTGGCAGAGACTGAAGGCATGAATTTGCCTTTAATGTAGTTTTGTTGGCTTGGTTTCTGGTAATTCTGTCCTTTTCACTAGCTCTGAGGAGAGAAGATGCTGCTTTCTGGTTGTAGGAGGGCTGTTGGGGACTAAATGACACTGAATCACCCATTATCTTTGGAAATAATTTTCTGATTCTGCCCATTGCCTGCTTTTTGGAAAATATTCTCCACTCATGATCACATTTGGAATTTTAAGGAAAATAATTGTTGCATGTTTGCAATGGAAGCTTTCAGAAATGTTCCCATCTGATAGGACTGCTCTGCTCCATAAATACTACTGAATTGCCATCAGTTTTCCTGGGATGTCTTTCCCTGTCTGTGGGGATTAGCTTGGCACTGGCTGCTGCTGCTTTCCACGTTTCCTCGCCCTGCACCACTCAACACTTCTGTTGTTGATATGTGATTATGGAATCACTGCCCCTCTATTTTTCCCCTTCTTTAAAAATAAGCCCTGTACTTCAAGAATAATAAGGTACAAGTTGTCATCTGACTGAAAGAAAGGGAGCTTTGTGGATATTTTTAACATGGCTAGTGGCATTTCAGAGCCCTGAGGAAAAACAACACAGTTTCCAGTCTTCAGTGATGTCGGATGTGGCAGGAGGCAGTGGCAGGGATGTACCAAGAAGGGGATTTTTTCCAAGCTGTTACTTAACTGATATTAGCATTTGAAGGCACATAAGGCCTGACCTTTAATCCTATGTGTAGACTTGCTGATCTGCTTACTTGAATGCCTCATTGTAGTGCTGCAGAATGAAGGGATTGCATCAGACCCCAGAGAAATCTTCTGTCACCAGAACTTGCCTATTTAGGTGTGTGGCTGCAGGAGCCCATCCCACATGTAACATCTGCAAACTCAGAGCTTTCAGATGCACCTCCCTGATCTCTTTAGCTCCTGTCTGAAGGAGTGATCTTTGCATACATCAGTGAGTGATCATTCATCTCCAAAGCTCAAGCCTTGCTGTATGAGCTGACAGAGTTAAAAAGGACAATCCTGACCTGCAGTCTTTCCCAAAAGTTTCGGTGTTCCTCATTACACATGGATTTCTTGCAATTCACTTCTGTAGCAATTCAAAGCATGGTGCCTAATTAGTTTTATGGAGCTTTAGTGGAAGAGGTCGGTGGGTTTTATTACATTCACGTGAAAAGTTGAGCCAAGAATGTAAAATGAAAACCAAAGATGAAGAGTACCGGAAAGCAGAACAGGGTTTGTGAGGCGACCGAGCATGTATGTGATACTGTGCAAAGTCCCACAGAGTCTTCTGTCTAAACTGGTAACATACTTCAGAATAAATTTTGAAGTCACAGCTGTTGTGAGAGGCTCCAAAGATATCAGCCATGCAGGAGGGCGAGCTGAGAAATAATTTAAATAGGTGGGACTGACGCACCAAAGCTGCACTGGGGTCCTTGTTGCCATGAGTTTTCTGGCAATGCGCGTTCCACATCCGTGGAGTTTGGGATGTGCTCTCAGCATCAGCCTGGAGTTATGGGGTCCCATGCTCTGCAAAACCAGCTCGCTGAAGAGAGCACGTGGTCAGGGGTGCTGGGCTGTGCGCCGAGTTGTGTCCAAAAGGACCCCAATACAAACACAAAATGTTACCGCTGTGGTGTTCTCTAGGGGTGGCTGACAGCTCCAGACACCAGCATGGCATGTGGCTCTGCCAGCAGCCTGTGGAAAGCTGTTCTGACGTAGCCAACCCACTTGGCAACAGAGCCATGGCTGGCTCACAGTGCCTGATGACTCAGTTAAGTCCTGGAGTTGTTATTGCAGTGGAAGAAGTCGTTCTGTTCTTTAATTCCTTTTGTGCAGCCCATGGATCTGTTGGATGGTATCCTGCCAAGGCCTGTAGTTAGAAGAAATTATAACACAAAGATCTTTTGGGGCTGGGCAAGTCGTGACTGTAGATTCTGCGTTGGAGCCGACAGCCCAGGAGGATTTCCTTTTGCCATCAAAGTTTTCCAGCAGTTCCAAATGCAACTTCCTTGGTTACTGCTTGTGCAGCAGCTGGAGGCACTCTCACTGCCAGCCCACCCACATCAGCAGGACAGGGCACACACGCCTTCATCCTTTTCTCCCCCTGCTGATTTATCATGTGCTTTCCTTACCCAGGAGACCAGATCCCCAGAGCTCTCATCTTCCCATTTCTGTTGCACGCTCATACCAGGAGCTCATGGCTTCATCCTTCTCCTCTACTCTCTGTCAGGTTTGTCATGCTTAGGCAGGGGTAGGGCTCCTGTGCTGCTTGGGAAGCCAAGGTCAAAGCAGGAGCAGCAGTGGTTTTGTTTTACATCTGGTTTGGTTTTTGGTTGGACACCATGATAAATGTGAGTTGCAATTATGCCAGAAATCTACCTGGAGGGTTCATGTCTGTAAAATGGATTAATATATAACTTGTGGGAGAGTGTGTTGTGCTCCTGGAGTTTGCACAAATGCACTTTTGCTTCACAGAGCTTATGGTGGTTTCCCTTCATTATCTTTATGCTTAAATAGAGTTTGGGCAATTTTGAGACACATCATTTGTTGTCACTCCCAGAAACTGAGTTGTATCAGAAGTAAGTGTGTCACCATCTGATTCTGCATCTCTTCATCCCTGAATTATTTCACCTGACATTAAGAGCACAAAGGTGCCCTTCTTTGTTATTCAGAGCAGCAGGAGCCATGCAGCCCTCTCCTTTTTCTTGCTTAAAGGTTGCCTGTTCCAAGCACTTTCCTGAATGATCACAAAAATCCTGTTGCAATGTGAGGTTGAACAAGGCACTGAAAGGCATCTTCCAAGTCTGACACATCCCTTGCAGTGCAGAGGCAAAGCTGCAGGAAGACGGCATGAAGATGTTTTTGATAAAGGGGGGCAGGAGCAGGGTCTGCAGGGAGTGCAGTGGTTTGGAAGGGTTCCTTAGTCCAGGTTTAAGGCTGGTCTTTGGGCTGGCTCTCCCTGGAAGGTGCTGGGTGATTGAGGATTCGCTGGCCTCTAGTGGTGACGCTGGGGAGAAGCTGCAAGAAGCAGCTGTGTTCTCTCTGTGCATGCTGCTAGGTGTGCTAAAAGGCAGGTGGTGCTGCAAAACATTTCGGGTTTGAACGCTCACTTTGCTCCTGAAGCAGTTAAAGGAGGTCCTGGACTCGTGTGCAGGAAGTCCCTTGATTTTTGCAGTGTCTGTTTTAGACCTTGGGACTTAAGGGATCTACAGTGTCTAGAGAATGGATGATTTTTAGATCATTGCATAGAACTAGAGTGTGAAATAAAAACGAAACTTAATCTTACAAAGCAATCAAAAGTTAATATCAAAACTTTTGTAAAGAGATGAATCATAGAATCCTAGAATGGTTTGGGTTGGAGGGGACCTTGTTAGTAGTGACATATGCAGCTCAATTGTGAGAAACTTGTGGGAAATTGGTTTTAAAATAAATTTTAATAGATCAGTACTGGGAGCCAAACAAGATGGGTTATGGTTTGATTTGTGGTGTTTGGGGGTGTTATTTGGGGTTTTTTTCAAATATGAGTTTTTGTCGCTGTAGTGTCTGTGGCTAAATGAAAAAAGCACGATTTCATCAAGTAAGTTCCCCACCAAAAGATGCTAGTAAGCCCTTCTCAATTAAATGCTCATCCCTTTGAATTTTTCCTTCCCTTCTTCAAGCCTGCCTTCCTTGATCCCTGCCTTCCTTCCTATATCTCTCTATCCTTAGTCTCAAATAATCCACTTTATTAAGATTTAGAGTACATTTGGGGCCGTAATCTCTTTGAACCATGGTTTTGAGAAGGGAGTGGAAGGAAGATTAAGTTTTCATAAGAGCTCTTGGTCTTTTCAATATATTTCAGCCTTTGACAAAGACATTCATATTCATCTCTGGTATTGCTATTTTTGTGAGTCATGCTATAAGTAAATAAATATTAGTAGTACATAGATGCATCCCAGGATTCCCATTTTACCTTTTAAAATGCTGAAACTCAGCACAGAGTGCAATTTTGGTTCAGATCTCACTGCAGAGCTGTGAAAGCAAAGATGATGTTAATGCCAAGTGCTAACAACATTGTGGTTTTCTGTTCCCAGATGTGAAAGGACCACCCACCCACAGACTGTCCTGTGGCCAGTCCCCCTACACTGAGATGACAACATGGGAGAGGAAATACTGCATCCTGACAGACAGCCAGCTGGTGCTGCTCAACAGGGAGAAGGAGGTGAGACAAGCTCCTTTTGGTGCCTCAGTGTCTGCCCTTTGGGAATAGGGAGGAAATGATGCCTCAGGTTTGAGCTTTTGTATTTTTCAGATTCTGTTCTGTTGTAGTGTGTGAGTCTGGGCTTCATATTAGGGGATGGTGAGCTCTCTGCACAGAGCAGGGAGACAAAACAATTCCTTCTCCAGCTGGGGACCAAGGACAAATGATCCAAATCTCAGCCCAAGAGCACAAACAACATGGTCTGAGGAGAGAAAACAAGATGGATGAGGCTTCCTGGGCTAAAGCTGTAATTGGACAACTAGCTCCAGTATGCAAATGAACCAAAGCTTATAAAAGTTTTATAAGTTTAAATGGACAACCTGTGACCTGTTGTCCATTTTGTGGCCATTTTGGGTTATGCTGCCCAAGGTGGACCCATTAAAGCCTCTTAAAAAGTCTCTGCTTTATTCTCTACCTCCGTCTAGTCTTTGTTCTAGGTCAGCCTTCACATGGCATCAGCCTTTTTTGGAGAAGTCAGCTTTCTTCATCTCCCCTTTACTTCACTCACAAATCCTTTGAAACGTGCGAGGGGGAAAAGGGAATTTAAAAAGAAATTCTTTACTGCCAGAGTGATGAGACTCTAGAAGAGGTGCCTAGGGAGGTTGTGGGTGTCCCATTCTTGTGTTCAAGGTGTTCAAGGCCAAGTTGGATAAAGCCTTGAGCAACCTGTTTTAGTGGGAGGTGTCCCTGCCCATGGCAGGGGTTGGGACTGGGTGATCTTTTAGGTCTCTTCCAGCCCCTTCCCATTCTATGAAAAGGGGAGCTGAGCTATCCTCTGTGTGAATGGGGTGGTGCACACAGTTATAATCCAGCTGGCACACAAAAGGTGACAGCAGCCCAAGTGCAAAGTCCCTCCTGGAATTCTGCAGCCTGTGTTTGTCTGCCATTGTGTCTTCCTATGTTACTACTTCTTTTAATGGTAGTTAAAACCACGACAGGTATGTCAACTTGCCTCTTTATGTCACTGCAGGCATAAAGGTAGGGAAAAATGAAGGCTTTTTATGCATGAGTTTTAGTCTAATACCATACTTTCCTATATTTGGCAATGACCCCAATTTTTGTGGTTATTCTTGATTCTTTTGAAGCTTCTGTATATGGCTGTTACAGCCTGAGAGTGAGACCTGTTTCTGGTGTGGAACAAAATATTCATCGGCTGTGCACAGGTTTATTTGCAATGAAATATTGCCTTGCATAGGGAGAGTGGGAGGAAATGGTATAGAGAAGGATTTGAGTTATTAGAAGGGAACAGCATTAATGCTGATGCGTGGGAGGGGTGATCAAAAGCAGGCAAAATGGAAGGCCCATTTAGTGGTATTTGTTTACTGTGTAATTCCTTTTCTAGTCTGACAGGACTGACACCTGAGGAATTGAAGTATACACTGAAGAAACTTAGAGAGATGTGAGAATCATTTCTAAAACAGTGCTGTACCAGCATAGCTGGACCAAAAGGATGAATCTCATTAAGAAATGTAATTGAAACAACACTGGCTGATATCACAAATAGTTACCTGAAGGTGGTAATCGTACACTTAGGGGTTCTTATTTCCCCTACCACAGACAGCTGAGAGTAAGATGAGTCTTTTGACTAGATCCTGAGGAGTAAATGTGGGAAGTCCAGTGTATCACATAATTATATTCTGTGTTTAATTACACTCTGGTTTTTGTCAGAAGCTGAGGAAATTCAACATAGGCTATACAGGGCCTGAGGTTTAAGTGTAGCAATAACCCCAGGAAAGCAAGCAGTAGTGTAAGTTCTTGCAGTGTGCTTTCAAAGGGATCTTCCTGCACTAGCACAATGAGAAATACTTGTTTTGGGAAATGCTGCATGCAGATGGGCCAAGCAGACATGCCTTTGGTGCAGGTGTGACTCCACATGCTGATAATGGATTTGTTTCAGAAGCCTGTAGCTGGAGTCAGATTTGCCATTCTGATTTTCAAGTAATTTGTGGCTACTGTGCAATGAAAGGAAAAAGGGAACTCTTTGCAGAGCCATGAGTGTTCAGTAGGAAAATCAGAGGTTGGTTTAGTCTGGCTTCTGAGTCTGGACACACAGTGCCTTACAGAAACACACAACAAGTAGAGCTGACAGTCAGGAGAGTGACACGGGGCTGATACTCTGGATTTATACTTTCCTCTAATTTTTCTGAACTAGGGGTGTCCCTTTGTAGCCTTCCTGAGAAAAGGGAGGGGAGGCAAGGCAGTTAAATTTTTCTTGGCAAGTCATTCAGAGTTGAAAGAGGCTCCATGAAATGTGATCTAGAAACAGGAGTGCACAAAGCCTAGGGCAGCAGTGGGGTAAAATGTTTGCTAAGAGCATGATGATGGAAAAGTCTGTGTGAGGGAAATCATAAAAGGATCCTGGGTGGGACCACTGCTGCAGGGAGCCTAAGCAAAGGCCAGGTGAACAAAGAAGAGGGAGGTTACTTTAAGAAAAAAATGAAGATTATGTTCAGAGTAAAATTATTGGAAAGGTGATGCTGGAGGAAGAGTTTTGTTGACTCAAACCAGGCAATAGGGAACAGAGCAGAAGAGATTCCTGCTCTGAACACGATAATTAATCATAGAGTGAGGGGTCAGGATTCCTTTGGGCTGCTGAGGAGGATCTTAGAAACCATCTTCAGGACAGAAGGACACCCACCAGTGAGGGAGAGGGCATGGGGGAAGAAGGAAGAGATGGCAAGAGCAGAGTGCCTTTGCAGCCCAGAGGGAGTGATGGATGCCTTGAGAGGCTGCCTGGAACAGAGGCTAGGCAGTGTTAAAGGAATAAATTAGGTGTTTATTAAAAAAGCCTTCACAGGATACACCTTGGGCAGTACAAGAGCCTGGCTGAGGCCCTGGGTCACAAGTTCTCACACTTTTATAAGTTCTGGTCCATTTCTATATTGGGGTTCATTGTCCAGGTTATGAAGTCCCATCCTTCCAGATTGCTCTCCTCAATTTCCTGTTCTTTAAACTTTTTGGGCCTGAAGCTGCAACAGTGTCCTTGGTTCTGGGGCTGGAAAAGGATTATTTTGTCAAACCAAACTGTGAAGAGAACTTGCCAACACTTTATATGAAATTCAGAGTTATATACTAATGCAGTATGGAATCTGGAAAACATGAAAGCTCAAACTTAAGGCATCAGGAGCACTTGCATCATCACAAGGCTGACACAACTTGAAAGGTGTAAGTGTGAAACCTCTCATTTTATTCTGTCCATCTGCTTTGTTACTTCATGGAATGAAATCCAAGAAGCTTGGCCTGTGTGAGTCTGGAAGGGAACAGAAATGTGTGTTTATACTGCTTTGTAAAATCCTTCCGCAAGTATGTGTGTCCAAGTTAGAAAGTGAAAAATATATACAAAATGTAAGCAGGTAAATGGAAGAATTCTCCACTGTTTCAGTTATAATGCTAAATTTGGTTTTTTCAGTTAAAAATAGAGCATTATGAATTGCAGATTTTTAAGACCAAGGAAATGCTACAGAAATAAAGAGTGTTGTAGAGAAAATTCATTTCTCATAGGGTCCCACCACTATGGATTTATTGTCAAGGCAGTCTGAATGAAGTATATGCAAGAGAAATTTTTTGCTGTGCAAGAGCATGAGTAAGTTGAAAATCAGAGGCCTTTTGAAGTGCAACTCGATCCAAAAATATCTGTAATTACTTAGACAAAAATAGTCTGATGGTATCACCTTGTGTAGTGTAGAAAAACATTAATTACTTGACACCTTGTCAACTTTATAAAATGAGAATAGGTGAGACTTAAGAATGAAAATTATTAATGAAAAGAAGTGTTCAGTGCCTAAAAGTAAGTAGAAAGAAAATTAATTCCTGTAGGAATGTGGGAGATGACTTAGCAAATAAGGAGTCCTGAGTGACAGGAGGTGTGCAATTATTACACAGTGTGATAATATTTAACAGCATTTTCCAAGACAAGGAAAACAGGCCTAGATTGATGCCCATACAAACCAGGTATTTCTTCTACAAGGAAGAGTTTCCCCTGTCAGATACTTTCATCTGCTCTGGAAAACCTGTTCCATCAGGTGGGAGGAGCTGTGAGGGCACAGCAGACATGTCTGTAAAATCAGAGCCATTTAAAACAGGGAAGGGGTGTTCATGAAGAGTGGCTCCAGACAGACAAACATGTGCACAGCACTTGCACTTGGAGGCATGTGACAAATGGCTGCACCTGGCTCTTTTTACTTGGGCTTTGTCAGCAGCTTGGCTGCAGTCCTGCAGAATGTTTTAGTCTTGTGTTCACTCGGAAATGAAGATGAACAACATTTTTCACTGCGTTAGACTCTTCTTTTTCCCCTCCCTGTGCCCAAACCTCATTTTTCTTCTTGGATTTAGAGGTGGGTTTAATCAAGGGCAAAGGATAGCAAAGACTTGCATGCACTGTGACAAGATCTACTGCTCACTGGTGCTGGTGACAGAGGCCAGCAGCAGCAGCACACCTGGGAGGTGTTTTCCTACTCCTCCATCTCCTGTGACTGACACCAGTAGTGGTGTGACAGTAGTGATCCAAGGGAGCAAACACTGCTGCTTGGGCCCCCAGGGGAAGCTCTTCCCACATCTCACTGCCCTCCTCAAAGAATTTGTGACATTGGGGGTGCTACAGCAAACATGTTTCGCCTGTAAATAAGAGTTTGTCAATGCTGAACCCAGCCATAAGATTTGCCTTAATTCTCAAGCAAATTTAATTTCCAAAAGCCCTGAGAAATGTTTGCTGTCAACATTTTTAAAGTGGATTTCTGTGTCAAAATTTTAGCTAGGTTCTAACTTTCTGGAGGAAGGTAAACAATTAAAATGCATTATTTAACTGGTTTTGACATTACTCCAGACTTCCTGACTGTTAGATCAGAAGAGCCTGCAAATTCTCAAGTTTGTCTTGAACCACTCTTTCCAATCTGGAAAAATCTTATCTACAATGAAGACATTTTTTCATCTGCTTTTTTTAAAAGTGACAATCTTAGTTTGCCTTTAAGAAGCATTAAATGTTTGGAAAGTTCTTTCTCCTATTCCTTCTGAAATCCCCTCCCTATCAAACTGCTAGAAATCTCCAATACAGACTTTTTACACTTTAAAAGTATGTTCAGTGGCAGGTGAGCTGGGATGCTGCTCAAGGATTTAGAGTCTGAGCTCTGAACCCATCCTCATTAAATTGTGAAATTTGTCATGGAAACGTGACCTGTGAAGAAAATTGTTAAGATTGCTAAAATGATCAGCATCTGGACTGTCCCTGTGTACCCTTTTTATCACAGAGCTAACACTGCTCAGACCCCAGTCCTGAGCCAGCAGCTTCAGCATGTCAGCTCAGGGTCAGAGAATTCCCAGGTTGGTGAAGTCTCAACAGGGAAAGAAGAGAATAAAGCTGGATGGGAGAAAAAAAAAAGAGCTGAAAGACTGAATCACCATTAGAGTCCTGACTCTGCAAGGCTGTGTCATTCCCTTCAATCCTTTGCTGAGCTGCCTGCTGGGGTGGCAGGGGCTGCAGGAGTGTTGGGAAGGTGGCAGATGTCTGCCTTGGTCTTCACATGGTATTTATTTGTGCAGTTCCTTGTGTTTTGGTGCCTCCCCATCCATGAATCCATTGTCTGACTGCAGAGCATTTATAGAATTGTTTAAAAAGTGCCCAGTCCCAAGGGATACAGAGCTGCTGACCAAGTTCATTTTACATGTTCACAAAGCTTCTTGGTATTTATTTGTGCAGTTCCTTGTGTTTTGGTGCCTCCCCATCCATGAATCCATTGTCTGACTGCAGAGCACTTTATAGAATTGTTTAAAAAGTGCCCAGTCCCAAGGGATACAGAGCTGCTGACCAAGTTCATTTTACATGTTCACAAAGCTGTATTTTTTTTAGAGCAGGCTGGTCTCATGCTAAGCAATAAATACTGGTCCTGCAGTCTTGGAGTTGGTTCTTTTTGTCAATATAAATCGAGACTATGGTTTTGGAGAAGTTTTACTGTAAATAACAAAGCGTTTTACAGTCAGACTTAAGGGGATCTTTTTGAGTTGATTTAGTGGGGAAATCAAAGCTGCAGTAGCTGTATTGGTCTAGAGCCAGCAGGTGGGTGTAGGTGCAGTGAGTTCACTGTGACAGGAGTGTGGCAGGGGTTTAAGGGCTGCTGAAGCAGGTTTGTGGTATGGTAATAGCTGATCTGGAAATCTGGCTCACAGCATCCCACCAAAAAATTCTCTGAAGGAAATCAGGAGAGGCAGGGGATCAGGAGAGTGTTTAGAAGGGAATGAGACTAAATGGAGCCTCCAGATGAGAACTGAAAATTCAACATGTGAATTTGGTTGAACATATATGGTATAAACTAACAGAATTAGTCTGTTTAACTTACCAATGTGCTTTTGCACAAGAGCTTATACAGCTGTAAAAATCACCAGAGAAGACAATAGTCTGATCAGAATAAACACCAGAGGTTTGGGAAACTTGTTTTGAAAACTGGGCACTGTTTGAAGGAGACAAATAAATCAGGATAGTAATAAATAACATTTAGAAATGACCTTAAGAGAATGTTAAGTGCTTAGAAATCAGGAAATGCCAGAACTAGTTTTGAGAGCCATTGTAGTGTTCAGCCTGTTTCTAAAAAAATGCAGTATCTCTGAGATCTTTTACAACCTTCAGTACAAATGAATGATAGCTTTTTGTTTGCTATTAATACTCATTTTTCAGAGTTGATGGAAGATATGAAAGGATAAACAACACAGGAAATAGGACAGGGGCTTCTATTTCTTTAGGTGCCAGCTGTGTGTTATGTAGCCACATGAAAATAAATTGCCATGCTACGTGTACTGCAGTTGTACTGTGAGAACCAAAATCCTCATCAAAAGCGCACCGAGATATTTTGTGCCTTGCAGTCCCTGGTAGTGAATCTCCTGAGGTTTCTTCCAGCTGTGGAAGGTTCGGGGGAGCCCCACCCAGCCACAGGTACCAAAAGCTGTGGTGGGCACCAACAGAAGGTGTGGTGGCCAGGACCCAGTGGTGCAGTTGCCTGCGTTGGCTGCGGGTGGCATTTCTCTCTGAGCTGGAGCAACCACAGAGCCAGTGCTTCACCAACACTGAATCTCAGTTACTTGCTGACCATGGCAGGACCTGTGGATAGATAGAAGGTAGGAGACTAGAGATAGTGGTGAAGGTAATCTCACCCCTAAAGAGTTACAGCTGTGCCAATTATCAAGCATTAAGAACAAGCCTGCCCTTAATAGGCCACAGCTGGATCCAATTAAGAGGGGTATTATAAAAGAGCAGGTTGGCTGGTCGAGAGGGGAGATGGAGTTTGTTGGCTGTGCTGAGAAGAAGGAGTCAGTGCTGTGAGGAGCTGCCCATGAGCTATCACCAAGAAGGTATGAAACCTTTCCAATAAGACAGCAACAGGACCTGCTGGAGCGTGGCCATGAGCGTGCTGCTCTGTGCTCTTTGGAGGCTCCCTGCAGCCTGGGGGTGCCTGTGCAGCGCCTGTGTGCCCCAGGCAGCTGTCGCAAGTTTTGTTTTCTCTACGTTTTGCCTGGTGCCATCTGAGCAGCAGCCTCTGCCTGACTTTGCCAGCGTGGAAGCAGCCGTGGTCTGGCAGTGGGGAAGCAGTTTGGAAAGGCAGGGGTGCTTTGGTAGTTGGGGGTCAGGGATGCTGGCACCAGCTCGTGGGCATTGTGGCTGAGCGTGCTCTTCACCACTGCTGCACTTTCCTGGAGAGCCTCTGGAATTTTGTGTTAAGGCTACAAATGCCACACTAAAGCCCGAGAGCAGATGAGGAGAAAATGAAGTGCCCTATCAAGATGGCATGTTAGCAGTGTGGCCTGGCGCCGGGTTAACAGCTGTTGGCATGGTTTCCCCGCAGGTGCCCGCAGAAGGGATCCCGGAGCCGCAGGATGCCTCCCGCGGGCGCTGCCTGCGCCGCACGGTCAGCGTGCCCTCCGAGGGCCAGTTCCCCGAGTACCCGGCAGAGGGGGCCGCCCAGCTAGGTAAGAGAACCTTGGACACCAGAAATAATAAATAAATAAATAGATAGATAAATAAATAAATATGTTAGCTAGGCTGCGAGCTCCCAGCGGGCAGAGCCCTGCCAGAGCAGCCCGGCTAGGCGGGTACCACTGCGGGATGTGGAGGTTGCAGAGCCCAGGTTTTGTGTGTAAATGCCTCCAGCAACGCCACTGCCAAACACCAGGATTTATCCAGATACCAGGGAGATGGTTATGGGATGCTGGCACATGGGGAACTGTGTTTTTAAACTCACTAGGCAGCCCTGGGATTGAAAGGTGAGAGCTGCTGGATGCGGGTCAGTAGGGATGCAGCTCTTGGGGTGGCTCTGAGTGGTTCCTGCTGGTTTAGAACTGTTAGCTGGTTATGTTTTACCTCACCTCTGGAATTTCCTTGGCTTCGTATTTTCACAACAAGCACCGAATAACAGGTTTTTCTCTAGCTTACCTCATGCCTGTTCAGGGTGCCGTTCCCAAAAGAAGCAGCCATCTGCCTGCTGTTTGCTGTAATTATACGTGTTGAAATTTAGACAAAACAAACAAAAAAAGATAGGTACTAAAAATGACAGACAAATTTGCAGTGGTTCCTCAAGTCCAGGCTTGGCCCAGTTCCCCCTGATAATTATATGTGTTGAAATTTAGGCAAAACAAAAAAAAAAGGTACTAAAAATGACAGACAAATTTGCAGTGGTTCCTCAAGTCCAGGCTTGGCCCAGTTCCCCCTGTTTTCCACCCTACCTGTGGCTGCATAAAGAGCACCATTCCAGGTTTTCCCAGAAAAGAAGGAAGAGGCAGCAACCACACACTTTCAAATGAGCTCTTCTTTCTTTACCCAGCCTATGCAAGAAACTTTCCTTCACATAGGCTGGTGAGACTTAGGAGCAGTTCTACCCTGGTTCAGACATGAAAAATGTCACTCCTGGGGACAGTGAGCTATGACAAATAAACATACATCTGTAAATAGTAAAGCAGCCTTGATAGCTACTATCCAAGGTAAAGAGCACATAAGGTATTTTTCATTTCAGAGATTTTTTTTTTTAGTAAGTATTTCTTTTGCGAGTACATTGCACACAAGTAAGGAATATCCCACCTTTGTAGATAGTTAATTATCACTTTGCAAATGTATTGCTTATTTATTTGTACTTGTCAATAGCACTGTTTAACTCTTCCTTATTTGAGGAAGGCAGATAAGGTTCTTTTTTTTTATTTCCTAGATTACAGATTGAAAGTGTGAAAATAAACAGGACAAAGTTGGGGATTTAGGAGGAAAAACTGCAAAATACTTTTGAGATGAGTGACGTGAAAAGAGCCGTGATTGGATTTGTTTGTGGAGTTTCAAATGCACCTCTAAATGATCATTTTGTTTTGCCACATGAATAAATGTTCATTCTTGTTTGGAACTAAAGCTGGTATTAATCATCTTTACATAGTGCTGTAGGCAAAATACTTACTCCAGGTATATGGCTGGTGAGGTGAATAAAGAATTGCATTGCAGCCAGTCTGCACTAGGCAGTGAATATTATTTATAGCTTCACAAGCTAGAAAGACCTTTAAAAATCTAAGACTTGAATACCTTCTTCTTCTATACCATGTACAAAAATGAGTGGATTTTCTAGACTTCTCTGAGCATCTCAATAGCTGGAAATCCCAGTGTTATGTTTTTAAATGGAGCCTTGTAACATTCTTGATTTTTCTTGAAGGCCACAGAGAATGGATGACTCTGCTATTTGGTGTCTGCCTTGCTGTGTATCTTGCTTCAGTTTTAGATGCAAGTGGCATCTTGTAGTGTGTTATTTGATATATGCCTGACAAGAATATATTAAAAGTACAAGATATCTACATGGTCCTCTCCATGTGAGAGCTACAACAGTAGTGAATACAGATGTCACAGAGTGGTGGGTAAAATAACTGGGCATGCAATGGGAAGGGGAAAATTGAGCAATGCCCTTTCTGTGGGTATGGAAGAGAGTGGGGGGAAGGTCATACATAATTTCAGATTGCAGTGCCCTAGGTAGTTCCTTTGTTCTCACATCCTGGTTAAAAATGTCTCTTGTCATGATTACAGAATCCCTGCTAATGAAACAAGTGGGAATAGCTTTATGTCAAGATGCTGAGCCAGCGGACATATTAATGAAGGGAACCATTGCACATCTTTATACAGAGAAAGAGGCAGATGGTGGCAGCCAGGCCGTATCACAAGCAGTACAGATAACAACTGCACTAAAATAGCTTTGGAATGGACACCAAAAGCTGAAAGGCACAGCAGAGGCAGCTACAGTATCTGGTAGAGAAATTGCTATGCAGAGCTGATAAGAATATCAAGCTTGTCCAGGGAAGCATGTGGATAACATGGTAACTGCAGGCCGTGCATCTGACAGTGATATCTGAAATTATTCCTTGCAGAAGAGCTCCTTAGGATTGGCTCTAGTGCAGAGGTGAAGGCATTTGCTCTTTTCCCTAAGTAAGGTTGCCATACCTCTCTTGTGATTTACTAAATAGATTTATTTATTAAAAATCAAAAAGGAGGGATAAGGTGATGGGGCTCTTTTTCATTGGTAGCAATAAAGTTATAACTTGTATGAGAATCTTTTGGTTACTGGAGCAAATGGAACAGTGTGTGTTATTCAGGGGCTTTGCATAATCAGCAGTAGCACCCATTCTGCAGATTTCTGTGGCATTCTTTACAGAATTACGCACACATCCGTGTAGCACCATTCCTAGGAAGTGTGTGGGAGAGAAACTACCCACGTTACATCTGAGAAATGGAAGCAAGAGATGTGTAACTCCCCAAAGTTCAGCACTAAGTCAAGTGTGCTTCACCCAAGGGCTGCTGAAGTCATTCTCACCATCTCTTTCATTTTCCCCCCTTGCTGCAGGCTTGGCTCAGCTGTTTGGGAGGCAGCTGCTGCACCACTGTGGTTGCAGTCCCCTGTACTAAGATAGACGCCAATTTCCACATACTTCAGTACAGCAAGCTGTAATTTGTGATGGTTCAGCAGCTGCCAGAGGAGCAGCTGAGCCATCCCTTCTGAGCAGGCAGAAACCACTGTGGTCACCCTCAGATGAGGGCTGGAGGGGCAGCACAGAAAAAAAAAGCACAAGATAGAAAGTGACTTGTTTAAACACTGAAAACTAATAAGATCATTTAAAAACTCCAACTCCAGAGACACTCAGCATCTGCTGCTAGCTTAGCAGCTTGTCCTCTGCTTGCAGGCAGGGGAGAGGCTGTTGCTGATGCTGAGATTCTTAATTCCTGTCTGGAAGATGCACTGTGCACTAAGTTGTGTCAGCAAGCCATCCGTTAAATATATGCCATAAAATTTCCTTGGTGCATAATCCCTATCATTGTAGTAATACCTCTGTGAGTGAACAGGCACACTCTAAATATGTCATTTGCTTGCTAGGGTTTCATCTTGGCAGCACTTACTCAGAGGAGCCTCCACTGAAGAAAGCTAAAAATGTAGCTGGAATTTCTCCCTAACTCCAGTCTGACAGCCTCTAACCTTATTTCAAGTGTTACTTGCAATGGGGTAATTCTGTTACAAAGTGTGATGCAGGCCCTGGAGACCAGCACCTAAATGTCACAGGAAGAGGAACTCAAGCCTGGCCCATCTCTGTTTTGCCTCCGTTTCTGCTTCAGATCCTGCTCTTTTTTTCTAACAGGTGTATTTTTTCCTGTTAGGGAGATTACATCCTTTTAAAGGATCGTTGTTTATAACAGTGTGTTGGAATTAGCCCATTCATGCAGTAAAAGCATGATTCAGATTTCCACCATTCATGCTGTTTGACAGGCTAGTAGCAGTTACCACTTCCTTTCCCAAAATAATTGTCTTCTCTCTTGCTCTGCTTCCTTCTTGCCACCTGCTCACTCTAAATGAGGGTTGTTAAGGAGACTACGCAGCAAAAGTTTGGATTCTGGCAGCTTTGTGGCATTAATAAGGGAGATTTTTTTTTTTTTTTGCCTGCATATGTGAAAATATCAGGAGGAATTGAAAGTGAGGAAAGGCTTTGGGGTCTGGTTTTGTTGCTGTTGTTTTTTTTAAATTTTCAAGTATTAGAAAAGAGCATCATCAATGAGAGTTTTTGAGATTCTCTGATGCTTGGAAAGGCTAGTAGTGATGCAAATAAATCTTCTTTTTGTATTTGGAGGTGAAATCATCCCAGAAGAAAAAAAAGACTGTTTCACTTGTTGAAACAAGTTAACCCTGGGGTTTTTTTCAGTCTGAATATGCATCTCTTGAAAAAAGGTTGCTGCGAGGAGGTCAGAGGCGAAGATGCCCCTTGCAAATTTTAGTTTTGTCTTCACCCTGAGTCACTAGCATTGAGAATGAAACTCAGATCTGTTTTGATGCCAGACCTAAATCGCATTGCTACCAGGTGAGCAGTTAGCTGGGCAGAAATCCTGCCTCTGTACTCTTCTAAAAATCCAGAGGCTGTGGAATTGCAGTGAGCAACAGAAGATGAGTTAAGCAGCATCTGGTTTCTCTGCTGCATGCTGTGTTCCTTGCAAGTCTCTGCTGAGCCCTCCTGCCTGGGGAGGATTTCTCCAATACCCAGCCCATGCTCTTCCTTCAGGTAAAAACCTGGCAGGAGAGAGCAGACAAGAGCTAAAAAGATTCCTGGGGTGATTTTAATAACTTATTTTTCTAAGACTAAGTTGTTTACAACTAAAACTATCAAAGCTGAGCTTTGCTTTCTGTATATTCCAGCTGGAATGAGTATTTGTGATGAAAGAAAAAATAGATTTACTCTATGCTCACCACATAATTAAGATCTTGTAGCAGCTAAGATAAAGACCTGGAAAGGGTTACTAGTTTTTGAGGTGGGGAGAGTGAGACAGTTTGTTTTGGAACAAAAAGGATTGTTTGTGACCTGCTCAATGAAAGAATCTGCAATGTACCAGTTTTTACACTCTGTAAAGGTTTTTATGTTCGGCAAAGATTTATTTAGGAGATATGCAGGAATTTGATATAATGGAAGTCCTG